TACTTAAGGTACACTAAACAACTCGCAAAGGTATCTGTGAATTTCAGTTTCTGTTCTAGAGTAATTGCACCTATTTTAGTGTCAAAATTAATTTAACTGACTGTGTTAAAGGCATTAAATATTGTTATCAAAATGGCATGTTATATGTTAATACAAACAGCATAGATGGAAAAGGCTATGAAAATGATAGACTGGAGCACTGTTGTGTTCTGGACATGTTTTTAAAAATATTTTAGAAGCATAAAGAAGAATAAAAACGATACAGGCTTTCAAAAAATAGGAAAATAACACTAGTTAACATATTGCATATTGTTATCTTGAAAGTAGTTGTTCAGATTACAAGATTTAAGCATAAAAGTGATCAATCAGGCAGTGAAAACACAAACTTCTTTTTTTATGAACTAACACAGATTAATAGTATACTTATCTATCTTGTCTATATTTGCATACACATATATAATATACATATGTATCGATATAATCTTTTCCTTTCTTTTCTCCTTTCCTCTATTGCAGTTGTTCTTTCCTTTTGAGCATGTTCTTCTTTCTTTTTCACAATATCTATTGTATATTTTGAATCTTACTCTTTTTTTATACTAGGGAGATAACACAACATTTACACAAGCAAGTCTGATTTATTTCACTTATGAGTATGGTCTCTAGTTGCATCCATTTACCTATAAAAGCCTAAAGTTTATCCTTCTTTGTAGCTCAGTAATATTTCATTGTATAAAAATATCACACCTTTTTTATCCATTCCACAGTTGATGGGCATTTGGGTTGTTTCCTAAATTTAGCTATTACAAATTGTGCTTCTAAAACATGGGTGCACATATATTACTATGGTATGATGTCTTCAATTTTTCTGGGAAAATACCCAGAAGGGGAATAGCTGGATTGAATGGGACCACCAATGCTAGTTTTTTGAGGAGTCTCTATGCTGATTTCCACAGTGACTGTACCAGTCTACACTCCCATCAATGGTGAAGAAGGATTCCTTTTTGTCTCACATCCCCACCAGCATTTGTTATTGGTTGATTTTTTATGACAGCCATCCTTTCTGGAGTGAGATGAAATCTCCATGTTGTTTTAATTTGCATTTCTTGAATGACCAGTGATGTTGAACATTTATTCATATGTTTATTTGCCCTTTGTATTTCTTCATCTGAGAAGTATGTGTTCATCGCAGATGACCATTTATGAATTGGGACTTTGAATTTGGGGCCTGATGTTTTTCAGTTCTTCATATGTTCTAGATAAAAGTCCTTTGCCTGAGAGAGTTGGCTAAAATTTTTCCCATCTTGTGTTTTCTTTTCACTCAGTTGATGATTCCTTCTGATACTACTGCTGGCCTGCCTACGTTAGGGGAGAGGTCAGAGAGGTTCCTGCCAGCAGGTGGGGGAGGAGGTCGCTGACACTCCCATTGGCTGCTGAGGTCTTCCAGGTGTAGCGGAGGGACACCCGACTGGTATTCTCTGGATGAGTGTTTTAGCACATGTATTTCATTATAGTTACTAATTTTTCAGATTGCATTTGGATATCTCTCATTGCATTTGTATTATATGTAAATGCATAAAGTTTTCTATAATGATTTGTAATCCTGCAGGAAGTCTGTGCCTGTCAGTCCAGTTAACACGTTGATTGTAGTTGCTAGTTTATCTGTGTCTGGAATCACAGTAGGCCTTCTTTGACCATCTATAAAATGAGGATATGGACTAGGGATCCCTAAAGCTTTCTTTTATCTCCATAATGTTGCCATTGTATGACTGTAATTCACCACTAGAAATGGATGAAAAGCAGTGTTTTCAGACTGCTTAGAGAACTTTTAGTGAGAAATAGATACTTGTGATTAGTGTTAATGAATACATGATTATGCACTTTTCTCCCATTTCTTTTCTTTTCTTTTTTTCTTTCTTTTTCTTTCTTTCTTCCTTTCTTTTCCTTCCTTTCTTCCATCCTTCCTTCTTTCTTTCTTCCTTCCTTCCTTCTGAACTAACAGAATATTCGAAAAGTATATTTTCAAAAATAAATTGTGGTCTGGTGAAATATGTTGATTGATTAACAAAATTTACCCTTTAAAAACCAAATATCAATATGGTAATCACAGAAACCAAGAACTTGTATGTGTAAGTAAGTGTAATAAAACCAAGAACTCTACACATGTAAATAGATGTAATAAAAGAAAACAGTGTCAATATATAGTTTTCATAATAATTCAAAGTATTCAAATTACAAGGGGAAGTTTTTATTCCTTCAGCTTCTTTGTGAAGGAGGGACCAGCACTCTAATACCCTAAGGAAGCTAAGATCTAGAGAAATTAACGACTCAAAAATTTCTTAAATAAAAATATATTGGGTGCCTACAGTTGGGTCTAGCAGCTGAAGGTGGAGTGGGGAATAAACTACCTTACTTGACTTCCAAAGTAGAGGAGACAGATTTATATACAAATATAAAACTGATAACAGCAATTATGGTGGGAGCACAGGAGATGGTGCAGATAACTCTGGGGTGTTGTTCGGCAAGGCTCCAAAGAAGAAGTGATTTGGAAATATTCTTATTAAACAATGAGGGGAGACATTTGCCAGGAGGATGAGAATAGTGTGAGAAGACCTTGCTGTAAAAGAAAATGAACATAGGTAGAGACCTCAAGTTATGAGAAGTTTGATGCACAGGGTGAAGTCCAGTGTACTGTAGCATTATTATCCAATTAAGTCTAAATGTGTAATTTAAAATTTATAACCATATTAAAAAGAAATAGTGAAATAATAATACATTTTACTTAATATATCTGAAATATTTATCTTTTTTCATACTGAAGTCTTTAAAATCAAATTAGATGTATATTTTACACTTATAGAATTAAAATAGCTGAATTTGGACTAGCCTTATTTCAAATGGTCAGTATCTAGAAGTTAGAAAAAGAGAGAGACCGAAAGAGAGCAAGAGGGAGAGAGAAAGAGAGGAGAGAGACAGAGACAGGGAAAGAGAGAGAGAGAGAGAGAGAGACAGAGAGGGAGAGAGAGACACAGAGAGAGAGAGAGAGACAGAGAGAGAGAGACAGAGGGGGAGAGAGAGAGAGAGAGAGAGAGAGAGAGAGAGACACAGAGAGAGAGACAGAGAGAAAGAGAGAGAGACAGAGAGAGAGAGAATCCAAATGTGCTCTAGAAGGGAGGAAGAGAGATGAAGCAGCTGGTGGCAGGTTTTGAAAGGCCTTGTATACCAATGAAGTACGAAAATTGTCCTTATGATGTAGTAGCTATGCCTGTGTGTCTGAAGTTATTTGTGGTACATGACTCATTTTTGAATTTTGAATTTGTTACAGACTAATACTTTGATAAAATAGAGTAACAGTATATTATAAAAATGAAATTAAAAAGACATGCAAATGAAAGTACCATTTTTTAAATCATTAGACTTAACAGGTGCTGTCTTTGTCTATTCTGTGCTCCTGTTAGAGAACAGCACTGACAATGTAATTAATAATAAACCGACATTTAGTAGCTTACTGTTTTAGAGATTGGAAGTCCAAGATCGCAAGGCCACAGCTGGTGAGGACCTTGTTGTGTGGTCGTATGACAGGAGGCCTCCCACAACAGAAGAACGAGAGATGGCAAGAGAAAGAGAGAGAGCAAGGGGAGCCGCTCATGCTCATGATGCTGAAGCCACTCCCGTGGTAATGGAGTGAGCTCCTTCCTGAGGATAGAGCCTTCAGGACCTCACCATCTCTTAAGGACTCATTTCTACCCCCAGTACTCTCACAGTGGCAGTTAAACTTCAGAATGTGTTTTGGAAGATACAAACATTCAAAACCAAAGCCAAGTTCACTGAAGTGTCTTAAGCCAGTAGCATGCAATGGAATGTTCTATAACAATGGAAATGTTCTCTCTAGAAGCGTAGTATGGCAACCACTTGTCACACGTGCCTGCTGAGTACTTGCAATGTGACTAGTGTGATTGAGGAATTCAAATGCTTATATTGATTTAGTTTTAATAAATTTAAATTGAAATAATCACATGAGACTGGTGGCTACTGTACTGGGCAGCATTGGACACTCTTAATCATTGTTTCTACCAGTGGTGAACCAGTGAAACTAGTTTGTAGACAGCCGTTGGTCTGTGAAGCAACACTGAGTAGCACTGCTTGGAGCATGGATCCTAGTTATTTAATCTCTCAGAGCTGATGTCCCAGTCCCCAGTTTGTAAAACAAAAGTAATAATAAGAAATTATCTGTTATGGTTGGGCTGCTGTCAGGATTAGATGTGTTAATGAATGCAATGTACTGAGAATGATATCTGATGCACAATATTGTATAAATGTATCATTATCATTATTATTTTCATCATTTCCCTGTTGGTGATGGGTATCACACAGTTAAATGACAACAAAATCCAGTCTTTTTATTAATTCTCTGCTTTTTATATTAGCTTATACCCTTCTAAAACTGTAGTACAGTTCCTGGTATATAGTTGGTATTCAATAAATATCTTTGGAACACAAGCATAAAATATTCTTGGAGCACGGATGAAGTAGGAATTAGTTTTGATGGCAAGGGGATTAGAAAAATTATCAAGAAATGATGACCTCTGAAGGGGCTCAGTGGATAAGGTCCACAGGGAGAGAGGGGAGAGCACACCAGGCAGAGGGAGCGCGGAAGCCCATTGGATCATGGTGTATTTAGAGGGATCTGCCGCATGAGCCCTGTCGGCCCTCTCATTGCTACCACTAATTCTTCCCTTCCTACTTCTCTTCTTATTTTAATCGTTTAGAAGAAAGGCTTACTAGGTGACAGGTCCTTCTGTGGTTTTAATGATGCCTTACTCGTAAGACCAATTTCTGCCTCTTTACTTGTCCATGTCTGGAGTTAAGGTATCTGAATACGATGGGGGAGTTTGAACAGTGGCTGGGAGAGAAAAGGAATGCTTTATGAGAAGCAGGCCCTAGGCTGTGGGCAGATAAACTGTGAGATTCTTTCCCCTAAAACATGTTTTTTATTTACATAGATCATTTTAGGAAGAAAACCATTTGGACAAAAAATGAAGTTCCTTATCTTCACATGTGTTGGTGTTGTTAACCTTCTGTCTCTGGGCTCTGGGAAAACTATATACAAGAGTGACGGCTCTCGGCGAACTTTTCAAGAAATAAAAGAAGAAATAGCCAGCTATAAGGATGTGGCTAAAGAAATTATCGACCTTGCTGTTTATGGGAAATTCCAGAATCGGTCCTATGAGCGACTGGCACTTTTAGTTGACACTGTTGGACCCAGAATGAGTGGCACCAGGAACCTTGAAAAGGCCATCCAGATCATGTACAGAAACCTGCAGGACGACGGGCTGGAGAATGTCCACCTGGAACCAGTCAGGGTGTCCCACTGGGAAAGGGGCAGCGAGTCTGCTGTGATGCTGACTCCGAGAGTTCACAGGATGGCCATTCTGGGCCTTGGCGGTAGCATCGGGACACCCCCAGACGGTACTGTTTGTCTTCTCAGTGTGCTGTGTACTTTGTACAACTAATGTCATGTGGGTAATTGGTTACAGTATACATGATTCATATTATAAATTGGGCAATAGAAAGGAAAATATAACAATTTCCCATCCTACTGGCTTAATGAGTTCTCCAAACTTACATTCTTTTTCTTTTTTCTTCTTTTCTCTTTTTCCTTTATTCCGTTCTTTACCAAAAAAAAAAACAAAAACAAAAGTCTCATTTTAAAGGGTCATGTATTACATGGAGAATCTATAGCTACTGGTCCATGATACTTATTAGTCCAATAAATGACTTAATAATTGCAATCTAGCATAAAATAGTGTAATTCTGTAAAGAATTAAAACATAGATAAACAGGGTTCAAAAATTACACTTCTTCCAAGTATTCTCAATATGCAGACTTTCTTAGAATTCGTGAAATAAAGAATAGAAGCTGAACGCTGAATTGGTTTGAGTTTATTATTTTTATAGAAACTGCTAATGCGAGGAATTATCAAGGGTCAAACTCTACCCTTACTTACTAGCATCCCGGCTCAGCTTTATCAACCAACACAAATGTCTGGATCAGGGGCAAATAAGCAGTCAACAGCGAACTGTCAATCTTGAATGTATTGATGAGTAATTTCCTGTGATAGGTAAATTAGTTTCTATTCTTTTCATTTTCTCTTACACCAAGAGAAAGACGAAGTAAGAAAGTTTGTCCCTACAAACATCTTTATTGAGATAAGTTACGTACTTCTATTTTCACTCCTTTAAAATGCAGAACTTTGTGGGCCTTAGTGTATTCACAGAACTGTTCCACATAATTGTAGAATATTTAGGTTGCAGGGTGCAATGTAATTTTTTTATATTTTATTTTTAAAATTAATTTTATTGGTTTGCTTTAAGTATACATAACAATCATATTCATCATAACGAATTTGTATCTGTACATAATATATCTTGATTTTTCTTTTTTCTCTAATTCCCTCCTCCCTTCAACCTCCTTTTCCCTCCATATTTACAAGTTTTATTTCCATTTTTCCTTCTATTCTCTTTTCATTTTCCTTTCTTTTCTTTCTCCCTCCACCTTCCCTGTCCCCCTGGCCATTGGAACATTTTCTTCCTATTTCCCAGGACACAGTTTAATTGTAGAACATTTTCATGACCCCAGAAAGAAACTTCTACCCGTTCACAACCACTCTTTATTCCTTCTCTATACTCTCCTAAGATCTCAGCAACCACTAACTTGCTTTCTGTCCTTATGGGTTTACCTATTCCGGATATTTCACATAAACGGAATACTTTATGGTTTTTTGTGACTTCTTTCATGTCGCATAATGTTTTCTAGGTTTATCCATGTTGCATGTTTCAGCATTTCATTCTTTTTTATTGCTGAAGAGTACTTCATTTTATGAAATTACAGTGATACCCTGGTTCACAAATGCTTTTATTTGCAAACAGTTTGGTTTGCAAAAAGCATTTGACAAAGTTTTGGTTGTGTTTGGTTTTGTAAACTCTGCATCTGGTGACAAACATGACTATGGCCATCTTTTCCACACAAACATGAGCATGACCATTTTTTCCAAATCATAGAACAAATTAGGTACATCACATGAGGCACGCTGTACCATATTTTGTTTATATTTTCATTATCTGGTGGATATTTAGATTGTTTCAAGTTTTTGAAACGTTCTCACTTTTTGACTCTAATACTGATATAAATAATTTATATGCAAGGTTTTTTGTGTTTTCATTTCTCTTGGGTATATATCAAGTGGTAGAATTGCTGCTATTTAATAACTCTATATTTAACTTATTGAGTCTCACAAACTTTTTAAAGTGGAACACATACCAGTTCATGTTCTCAGTAACAATGTACTGCAGTTTTCCCGAATACTTGCTAACCCTCCCTGGTTCTTTCCTTTTCTCCCTCTCCTCTCCTCCTCTCCCCTTCTTTCCCTCCTCTCCCCTTCCATCTTTCCTTCCATACTGGGTATTGAGCTCCAGACTTTTGACCTGAGCTACATCTTCAGCCCTTTTATGTTTTTAATCTGTCTTTGTTATGAGACAGGATCTCACTAAGTTGCCCAGGCTGCCATTGCCTTCTGGATTCCATAGTTTCTGATGGGAAGTCAGTTGTTAATGTTTTCAGAGTTCCTTTGTAGATGGTAAGTTATTATGCCCTTATTATTTTAAAGATTTTTTCTTTAGTTTTCCCTTTCCACATTTTGACTGTGACATGCATAATCGTGGATCTCTTTGCTTTTGTCTTACTTGGTGAATTTTAAAAATCTAGAGTGTATAGATTGATGTTTCTCCTCAAATCTGGGAATTTACAGGTATGTTTTTATGAATGTTTTGCTTTCCTTTTCTCTTTTATCTCTTATTCCTGAACTGTACTTAAGAACATGTTGATGTGTTTAATGATGTCCCACATTTCTCTGAGGCTCTATTAATTTCTCTCCATTTGTTTCTCTTTCTCTTCTTGAGATTGCACAGCTCTGTCAATCTATCATCAAGTTCACTGGTTCTTTGTTTCATTACCTGCAAACTATTTTTGTGCATCTGTACATTTTTCATTTCAACAGTTATATATTCCAACTCTATGTTTTTATTTAATATTTTTAAAAATCAGTTTTTTCTTTACTGATCTACATTTGATGAGACATTATCATTATGCCTTTAATTATTTAAGAATCACTTTAAATATTATCTTTACTTCCTTGAACATGCTTATAATAGTTACTTTGAGACCTTTTTTTTGCTATGTCCTATATCTGGACCTCCTCTTTGTGGCTTTGTATCTCCCTGTAGGGAGCAGCATGACTGCCCCATCGCTGCCTCCCCACTTCTCTCCTATGGACATATAATGCATCTGCCTATATTAACCATAATCCTCTCCTACTTACGTCACATACCCGGATGTGATGATGACCCTGTTGTATTCATCCCCGTAGCCTCTTCCTGTCCCACCAGCCTGCCCTTGGCCCATAAAAGATGCGACCACTTCCTGAATAAACGAGGCTTGATTGGACTCTTCAACTTGCTTCCATCTCTCTTTGTCTCCCCCCTGTTTCTATTTCATCCCCATTCCCCCTCCAGGTACACCCCATGGATTGATCCGCGGGCTGGATCAGCCTCTTCTGCAGTCACAGGGGGTTCTGTGCATGGCTGTCAGCAGTTGTAGTCTGTTTGGCAGGGGCCTAAATCCACCATGGGTGTGGTACGGTCTGAGGAGAGGGCTGAGTAGGCAGCATAAGGCTCCGAGGAGTCGTGTCATCTGTAAAAGAGCACAGGGGGTTGTGCCTCAGGAAATGGCATTATTCCTGGGTGTCGCATGGGGTCTTTGAAGAACTGTCTATTTGTTTTACAAGGTGCTCAGGTAGCCATCTAGCCTCTCTGTCTTGTTGAGAGTAAACACACACTGAGCCTCGTCCCCAGATAAGGACTGGGTTGGGGCCATTCCACATATTGGTTAGTGGGTCTCTCCATAGTACAGAAGCAAATTGCTTTGTGTTTCAGTATGCCAAAAATGCATGGCTGCTGACTGTCCAGAAGCATCCAAATTTAAAAAATTAAGGATGAATAAGGCATGAGATAGAATATTTTTAAGTGCCCCCCTTGTGGAGTACCATTCCCCCTTTTTTATTTTATCAACAGTGAGTTTTAGGAAAAGATGTGTCCTTTTAACTATGCCTTGACCTTGAGGGCCACAAGGCATGCCTTTTATATGATCAATATTAAAATGTTGACAGAAACGAGCAAAGGCAGAACTAGCATAGTCTGGACCATTATCAGTCTTTAATTGTTGTGGGCATCTCATAACTGATAAGGTAGTTAACATATGGCTAATAATGTTTGGTAGATTTGCCAGTCTGGGGAGAGGTATAAATGAAACCACTAAAGATATCTATAGTTACATGAACATATTTAAGATTGCCAAGCTCAGGAATGTGGGTGACATCCATTTTCCATAATGCATTGGGGATAAGTCCTCTAGGATTAACCCCAAAGTGTGGAACTGGGAGGTGCACGGCACAAGAAAGGCAATTTTTTATTATCTGTCTGGCTTGTTTTCTAGTGATCTTAATACAGAATTACAGAAAAATAAACGGTAAGAAATCAACAGTTAACAAGTTACACACTGTCATCTCAGAAATAGTCACCCAGGCCACAAAATCAAAGCACATAAAGTGACATCCAAACAGTGACACTGCCAACAGCTCCGCCCAATGATCTAACAAAAACCCAGTAACATGTTTATCAGTCCCACACACTTGCCTTCCATCTCAAAGAGGGCAAGACCAAACATATCAAAACAGAACAAAACCGTTTAAAAAAAGATTTAAAGAAATACAGATTTTAAAGCAAGTCCACTGGAGATCTTCATTGTTCATCTAATTGTCTCTCATTTCCTCTAAACAGTTGTGCCCATCTTTACACACATTAAATACACACTGCATATTATAATACTAATCAAATCATTACAGGATGATGAAGGCTCCTCAGGTCTTTAAGATCTGACATTGGGGAAAATAATAATAACTACCATAGTGTCTCTCATTCTCCTTTTAGCAGCTGTCCCCATCCTTACATATGCTGAAATTAAACTTAAGAGACTAGACCAATATCACTCCAATCAGATAAATGAGTCAAAGTAATTGACATTGGAATCTCTATCTCTGGAGTCTTTTTGTAAATGACCAGTCTCTTTACAGGTAAAACAGTTTTGTTTATGCTTTTGAGATAACAACTGTTTAACCATAAACCCTTGCAAGGCAGCAGCCATAGCAAGACCTTGCTGACAAGCGGTTTTAATGTCAATGGTGCCAGGGATTGAACTCATAGTCTTTTATTTGTCAGGCAGGCAGCTGTGCCACTGAGTTAAATCTCTATCCCTGGGGACTGAACTCACAACTTTGTGCTTCACTTATGTTATTGAGCTAAATCTCTAGCCCCTGCTTAATGCTTCTGAGGAACTCATATTGCCCTTAAATTGCT